ACCTACTCACCCTCCTTCCCTTCCTCCCTCTCTCTCTCATCWCTGTTTCAAGATGCTGAGTCCCCCAAATAATTTTGTGATGATGACTGGGAAACCCAGGCTTATCAGACATGTGTGAGATTTTTAGAGATCATGAAAGTAACATTCTTATGAGGTTCTTGAGCCCAGTGGGAAAAAGAACCTCAATTACAGGCTTACAACTGGGATGTTTTCTCTACTACACRGGTTAAAACTTTCATTCATCTAGAAGGAATTTGTGTTGTAGTTGAGGGTAAAGACTGTCAAGTTGTTGAATTGACTGGATATCAGAGTTAATTGAAGGATCTTGGAATTTTAGATTCCTAGTTAGAGAGGCTAAGCATCACTTGCTCCTTGAATAACACATTTAGTTGGATACCAAGATGAGATAACACTCTAGTTGTTGGTCTTGCAATGGAGAGAGTTGATAAGCAGGACTTCCTATTGGGGATCGTTTATTCATCTTTGTTTTCATTGGTTTAGTCAGCAGTTGATGCTATATGCTTGTACTGTTCCATGCTGTAGTACTTGTTTTACAAAAGGTGAACTTCTCTTCTTTAAGTCAGATTTCTCTTTAATCACTATTAATGATAAAGAAAGTGTTGGAAGGGTTAGAAATCAGATTAAACATGGCCAAACCAAGTTTAGTGGTTGGCCGAATTTTTTAAACTTTTTCTAACCCCACCTAGCTAATCTGAAATTTTGGGATCGATCTTGCATTGAACCGGATCAGATTTGAAACCAAATTAAAAACTGATTATACCTGATACGGAGTCCACAATATGCAGCTCCCAGAGTGGTAGTTCATGCCCAATATCAGTCTAAAAATTGGCTTCTAACTAAAGATGGCACAGTGTGTACATGAAATCGATTTAGTAGCACCATTTCAACAAAAACTGGTCTCGAACTTGCTTAGATTGAAGTGGGTATGTGAACCTGATATCCTCTTATGTTTTTCTTGCAAAAAAGTAGTAAAGGGTTGATGGAAATCAACCCCTATCACAGCTGGGTCAAATTAGGGTTTCTGGGAGTCGAATGGAGAAGAGAGAATTGGTATGTTCGCCCCTCCCCCCTTAGTCCTTTATATAGAGCATTGCTCGCAATCTTGGATCAAGAGTTTATCTTTAACTGATAAGCATTATCTTCTTAAGAGGTTAGGTGCTCCGTACCCAAATCCATGCACATTTTCAACCCAAATTGCTTAACTAATCATATTAGTAATGGGCCATAGGCCCATTTTCTCTAATGGTTCATGTCCCAAGGTGTTGCATGGCCACTTTGGGCCCGGATATTGTTTGGCATGGGACCCACAATGGTCTCACACAAGTCCATAAGGGTTTGGCCCGACCTCTAAAAGAGGTTAGGCTGAATTCACTACTCAAGGCAGTGAACCCTTGACCCAATCAGCTTGGGCTTAGATTGGGTCCAACATTTACACAAATAATCATTGGATTTAACCACCCTATGAAGACTCAAGGATAATGGACTTATGTAAGATAAAGCCCATCAGGTAATCAGCCCTGTAATGGTCTCTTCACCTAACCTCTTGGCCCATAATAATCAAAACATTGCCCATAGGGAAGGATCTCTTCCCTGACTACAAAATGCAGTGTCACACTCTTTGCTCGGATAGATCATGGGATTAAAACCTTTTGCAAACCTTTTTTCATAAAGTAGTAATATAACATATAAATACATTTTGTAAATCAAATTTTAAATATAGTTGAAATCCACTACCGATAGTTTAGGTTTCCATCAGAGAGAGTGTAAACCTTGTTATTCACTTTGTCTAGAAAAGGGGCCGATCCTATCGCTATGATGACCCACTTAGGTAATTTCCCAAACTTCCCCAACATGCCCAGGTATTTAACCCTTGATGGATCTCATTGGTTGGCACATCAAAGATAACTCAGTCCAATACCTAGTGCAATATCATAAGCAATTCTGGGGTTAAGTGCAATTTTCTAGTTTTGCCCATCTATCTCCAAGGTCCAGGGCATAATTGGAAATTGATTTGGGTTCAATGCTTCTTCTAAACACCCACTAGCTATGCTTGGGGTCTAACCCTAGCAGCTGAAACAAGCTGGTCCACTAGTTTGGTAGCACACCAGTGTCAGCCTTGTCAAGATAAACTCCCCAAGTCTATCAAATGGCTGAAAACATTCTAGACTAACATGAGTCTCRTAAGTGTCCAGTTTAAGGTGTAATTCACATAAACACATTGATATGATCATGAAACAATAGTGTACTTTATTCATTTACTGATAAATGTTTATGTACATCAATCTGATTGGAGCTAAGGGTGATGTGGACGCGTATTGGGAGTAGCAGCAGCAATGATCCGGTGTTCTCATCCTATCCAATTCGGCAGCAACAGTCTTATCCATTTAGCATATTAGATTAGACTATCTTGTTATTCTTATCTTATTAAGTTARTAGATTAGATTATCTTATCTTATTAGATTAGGATTAAGAGAGACTTATCTTATCTTATCAGTCTTATCTTATCAAGATAGAGTTGGAGGTCTCCCTATTCAGCAAGGAGTCTCCCTAAGAGCAAGACTCTTGTAATCTCTTATTTAAGGAGCCACTATTATTGAATAAAGGAATCCAAAATTTCAGTCAAAGAGAAGAGTAAAGGAGAGTTAGGGTGATCTCTTGGACAAATCACCCCTTAGGTCGCCACGATAGGGTCAGCACGCAAAGGGAGGGGGCAAGGGGAAACAAGAGGTTCTCCCCGTGGACCGACCTGTGACGAGATCCTACGCCCGGGCCCATAACAAAGGGCATACACTGTTTGATAGAAAGTGATAACCATATATAAACTCCATAGTTGTCAAGTCGTTGCCTAGGCGACTAGGTGTCCTTGGCTGGGCACCTTGCCTAAACGCCTTGACTTTTAGCAACTAGGTGCCTGCCTAGGCAACAAAAATGACAAGGTAGCTTCCTTTTATAATATTATTTATATTGTTGTCTTATTAATGTATGTGTTAAAAGATTTTACTATATGCTATATATATCAATTATACCTTGTTTTAATGTTTTACTATTGAAATTTAAAAGATCAAAGGGGTTTGAGGATAGAAAAAGAAAGAAAGAAAGAAAGAGGAAAGAAAAATAGAATTATAAAGAGGTTCTTTTTTTTTATATATTCTCTCTCTCTCTCTCTCTCTCTCTCTTTAATTAAATAAAACATAAACTCTATCCTTGTTTTTTCTATTTTACTTTCCATCTTGAATATTTATGATATAAAGTTAATAACCTTCTTTAGCTTCTAAATGATATGAAATTGCTCTTTTAAATACTTATTATAGTAGTATCATTTTTGAAAATAATGAAATTAATACATGTAAAAGATTTTTTTTCTTTTAGATGAGATGATTTGCCACATTTTTAGAGGAAATTTAATGTTCTTACTAAAGAGAATTTCTATTTTTTCAATTAATATAAATGCTGAATGGCATATAAAACTAGGGAACTAGCCAAAAGTTAGTTTTTTATATTATAAATWTTTTATCGCCTAAGTGACTAGGAGCCCCAGTGTCGCCCAGAATAGCCTAGATGCCTTGAAAACTATGCATTAGAGATGCATCACAACATTTACAGGTATTCAAGTTTACAGTCTCTGATGACAAAACACTTCCAAGTTATAATACAAGTTTAAACTGGGGTACCTAGTGCTCTTTTGTTCTCTATGGAGGGTATCAAAATTTTCCTGTTGACTCATCTAAGAAGTCAGAAGTGCAATGCATATGAAATAGTTGGCAAGACACAAAGTTGCTGATGGTTTTAAACCCAAGAACACAAATAGTTTCTGAACAACTTGTGGGTAGGTTCATCTATTATGTCAGTATATCATGTGAGTTGCAGACTTTGCTATCAATCCCAAGGTTGAATGGTTTATCAATTATTAGGAATAAGAAGGCATGTAARATGGTTTCCTTAAGGCTGTGTTTGGTTTGAAGGAAAAAGTAGGGAAAGGAAGGGAAAGGTAGGAAACCTTTAAAAACCTTGTATAGGTTTTCCTATCTTTCCCTTCCTTTCCCTATCTTTTCCTTCAAACCAAACATAGCCTAATTGTTCAAAAACTCTCCCCCCTCCCTTCCTTTCCTCTCTCTAATCTATTTATGTGTGTTGTTATTAATTCCTGTTTTGATGATTGTTTCTAGATAGTGTATCATCAGACATGCTGTTTAGCCTTCCCATTGTGCATCTTGGCACCAAAGTGTTGAATCAGAATCATTAATCATGTTTATGGCAATGAAAACCATTAATTCTGGTCAAGTAAGCAAAAATCCGATAGATGATCTACCCATGGAGTTGCATCAGATGTGGAGAAGGAAAATATTACGAAGGGGAGAAAGAATAGTAAGACACCCTAGACATAGCTTTTCAGGCCAAACTGGTTTCCATGGTTTCTAAGAAAGCCAGTAGCCTGGTACAGAGAAACATAGGTAGGCTGTAGAGTAGCAAACTAGCAATTTCATTTCTACTCTTATTGCTTGATACAAGGAACAGGGAGTTGGTGCTTATGTTCAAGGATGTGGAGTGGCATTGGAATAGTGGAGTCAGAGAAGATAAATACTGAAAAAAGGAGGATCTATGTTCATTGATCAAGAGGTCAGGAGCTTCAATGGGAATGAAGAATTGTTGAAGGGTAATTTTGGAAAAAAATATAAAGGTGAAAATGAGAAATTACATGGTCACTCTTTTATATACTCTAATAGATTACTGTTATTGATTAGAACTTCTAGCCAATATTATTAATATTATCCTTGCTTCCTTTTATTTAATATCTCTATGGACGTATATGAGGAATCATTTATGAATAAATCTGTTCTTGACTTCTTATCCATCTTATTTCTTGGCTTCTTAGTTATTTTACCTTGGACATACCATCAAGCAACTCATCTCTCAAAAAATAAGGTTTATGCCACACAATATTTTTCAGTTGTTATAATATATCTTTCTATGTCATTCAGGCCTTATCCATCAACAAGGCGTTATCAAGAGCTAAACTTGCTGCACAGAGTGGTCAAGTTTCATGTAGAGAGTTGAGAAACTCAGTCACTCAAGCAATATCTGAGTCCGGTGGTAAAATTGATTATGCTGAGGTTTGTTCTGTGTGCATTGATGTCTCTTTTCTCTTTCAGTTAACTATATTATAAAATCAAATTCTTTCATTTTTCACTTTCAAAAATATGCATGGCAAGCTAACGTGAAATATTGGAAAAACTGATCACCTACAGTATTGTGATTGCATATATCATATACAGAGAATCAAGATATTTCAATATAAGGTACAGTCCAAGTTATGGGTTAAAAATGTGCATGTATTGTCAAGTGTGAAACCTTCATATGTACAAACATAATCCAATGATGGGGTTTTAGGCAAAAATAGTTCCGGAGTGAAGCGTGGTTATCAAAAGGGTGCCCATTTAAGTGATAAGATGCCCAGCAAGGCAACAAAAATACAAAGCAGGTGCCTTATTGTAATATTTTACCATAGATTCATCTTGTCAGCATGTGCCTTGATACATCCTATTATATATTATATTATTACTTATGCTTTCTTTTACACTTTTGTAATTGAAACAGAGTTGAAGGTTTTGAGAAGAGAAAATGTCTTTATTTTCTACAATCACTCACACCCTCTCTCTCTCTCTCTCTCTCTCTATCTATCTATCTATCTATCTCACACACACACATTAAATAGGAATAGGACTGCCCCTTTGTCTTTTTCCTTTTTATTACGAGTGCAAAGTTATTGTGTTCTTTTGTTGCTAATAATTTTTTGACATGAAATTTGGCTCTATCATCTTAAATATTGAAATTGATAGATTTTAAAATGCCATCATCTTTTAGATATAATAGTTTGCTATGTTTTCAATTTACTAGTAAATGTGCACATGAGAAGCATGTGGCAATTTCAAATGATGATGATGATGATAAAACTTCAGTGTTCTTATCAGAACTCGTGTAACAAAAACAAGTAATTGAAGCATGGTATACTAGTGGATTTGTTGCCTTTCAACCTAAAGGGCTAGCTTCAAATCTTCTTACTTGTAGTTTATATCCTATTTTCTTCTTGTGATTGAATCAATGTCACTCAAACAAATTTTTTAGTATGTTTCAACCCAAACCACTTTGTTGCACAAAAAGAAAGAATAAAATATCATTGGTTTGGTCAACAATGAGATGCCCTTGTTGAACCGATGGCCTATTTGGCTAGGTCAATAGGCCATGAGTAAAACAATAATTCTCTTTTTCTATTTTTTGTACTTTCATCCATTTCTATCTTAATAACAATTCTCATTTTTAAAACATATTTTTGTTTAATATGAAGAATATATAATATTAAAGACATGATCAATTTTTTTTTATAAACTTAATAAAAAAAAATTATATATTTTTGTTGTCTAATTTAGAACATCACAACTTGACTTGTTTGATTGGGAGGAAATGCAAATCCAGTCAATTTTTATGACATTGAAAACATTGGTCTTTTATCTTGTGGTCAAAAGAGATTGGTTGACTTGTCATCCAACCAAGATTCAAGGTCCATTTATCACCAAATCACTTGCCTAAAAAAAATGACTTGTTAACAACATGGTAACCTATTCAATTAAACCATTGAACTATTTGACCTAGTTAGTGGGGTTACAGGTTAGACATCAATTCTCTTTTTTCCCAAAATTTTGTACTCTATTTTCATCATTAATAAAAAACAATTCTTATTTAGCACACTTCTATTTAAATAGGATGATATTTTTTTACAACTTTTTATATTTTCTAGAATTTTATGTATTTTTATAATCTAATTATCACATCGGGGGTTAACCTGTTTGACCTTAATAGTTGAACCACTAACCCACCACCTAGATGGAAAAAATCGTTTTGATTTTGGGTTAATATTAAATTTTGTAGTATAGTATAGTGTGTGTGTGTGTGTGTGTGTGTGTGTGTGTGAAATAGTGAATTAATCTTGAATTTGGCCTTTTCTTTTTAAAATCTTATGACCTAGAGGATGCCTGGGTGACTTAAGGGTTGTTCATTTGCATCGAAGTCTGACATCTGAAATTCTGAATGCCTTTGAAATTCTAATAATTACTTTTAGAGGTGTATTGGAATTGGTGAACTTTTCTTGCTTCTGAAGTCTGAACATAGAGAATGTTATTCTAAAGTCTGAATGATTTCTGAAAAGTGGCAATTGACTATTTTTAACCCTAAATATGAGAAAGCTTAGTTGATGTTTAACAAACGAATTCCCAATTAATTAAATATAAAACAATTAAATTAATAATTAATATTATTTGTTTTTTATAATTAATTATGTAGTTTTGATTAATGAATTAACTATTAATAATTAATTAATTAAAATATTAAATTAATAAAATATTAGTAATTTCTAAATATTACCTACCTCATTATTATAGTTTTATTATTATCATTATTTTATAGTATTATTAATTATAATTGATAATTAAAAATAATAATTAATATTAATTAGGTTTTTTTATAATTAATGCAAATAAGTAATTATAAATTTATCATTATTATTATTTTGGAAAACAAAATATCAAATCATTGTTACAGTACACAATAAATGTTAAATTTAGGCTGGACCAAAAATCAGTAACAAATGCCCTTAATACCTCTGAAATGATATGATATCTCTTCACTGTTAAGCACTAAGAGCTATCAAGTCGCTCCATTGTTGCCTAGAAGTGCCTATTTGCCTTGACAACTATGGACTAAAGGTCACCATAAACCACCATATAATTCTTGCAAGGCCATTAAGATGTAAAATAGCCTTGGGGTGCTCCATCTGAAACCATATAAATAACTATTAGTTCCAAACAGGGCTTAATTAGGCTGGGTATGCACTCAAACAGTGAGCTAAACAGTTGACATGATAGATGCAGCAATCAGGTTATCCCATCTTTCTATTTGCACATTGCACTCTGCAGTTTTGCTGTGTTTGGATGGATCTATGAAGAAAATATCTGGTGTAGTTTTCTTTGAGCATTGTACTTCCTTTCAAGGGGCAAGGACACATTTGACTGTTCTTTTCTGGTGCAAAAAGTGCATCCAAATCTGTTTGTTGCTTTATTCTTTCTTCTTTAGAGCTTGAATTCTGATAATTAGCCTAAATGGGTATCATCTAGCGACAACAGAGAATTCAAATGTTCATTTCATTTTAATATCGCTGGCTCAAATTCTTCTGTATCGCTTGGAACTAATTCCTACTATGAATTCAATCACCTAATTTTTTTTTTTATACAATTTAGAAGTTTCCTATATATATTTCTTTTTGTTTAACACTTGTAGATCGTGGACCAAGAAAGTCTGGAAGCAGTAGAAGAAATTAAGCGACCTGTTGTATTTTGCATTGCTGCCTGGTTTGGAAAAGTTAGGCTGATTGACAACATTGAAATCAATGTATAAAGAGCCTTCTATTCTGTGGCATAAGCAGACAGGTTAGAGAACGTGCTCAAAATACAGTATAGAACTGTAACTTGCATTTACAAAACTTTGGTTGTCCACTGATCACCTTTTCAAATGTCTAAAGCATGGGTGTTTCTTTCTTTCTTTTTCCCTTTTTGGTAACTTAAAGTGAAACGTGGAAGTAAATATCAACTTCTTGTTTGTTTCCCCATATTTGCTAAACAAAATATGCCTACATTGAAGGAAAAGCCAAGACAAATACAGTTTCATTCTACACATTTTTTTTTTTTTAATTTAAACAAGTTTCATTCTCCATTGATTGTTAATAAAAGTTGAGTATCTTCTCTTTTAATTTTATGCTTTTTTATGATGGAAAGATGTATTTTAATGAGCTATGATGGGTTTGTGACTCAAGGATACATCTAGAATTGAAATTGATTTTCATAACATTGTCTTTGCAAATCCAAGATATGTCTTTGTTACCTAGAAATAATGAGACATCCACCATATATATTAGCTGCTCATTTATGTCAAAGGAGCATGAAAGAAGAAACCCAGTACGAAGAAGTGTCTCCTGAAGAATGTAGAGTGTGAGGTCCATTTGGGAGAATCCATGTAACACTGTTTATGGGACAATTGTTCACTTCACCCTATGAAATCCTCCCTGTGAAGCACCCAGCTCTTGAGAAGGTTTGCTTGAGAGTCATCCTTCAGGGCTCTTTTTATTTAGGGTAAATTCTGAAACCTTCTCTGAAGTTTCTGCTTGTTGTTGAAACCTCCCTTGTAGTTTGGTAATTGCAATCACCTCCCTTGAACTTTTTAACATAGTTGCAAGTAGGTTGGTAATTGCAATCAAAGTTCAAAATATCGATACACCTCGGCGTATCGAGCAGTATTGATAAATTTTTTTAGTTTTTTTTGTCATATTCGGTTCAAAGGGGCCGGTTTAAGGTCTGTCCACTCTCTGAACCGGTCAAAACCCCGATACACCTTCTGTAGGGGCATATCAAGAAGTTCCTGATACGATACATATTGGCCGATACAGGCCGATACGTATCGATATTTTGAACCTTGACTGCAATCACCTACCCTGAACTTTCTAACATAGTTTCAAGTAGGCCCCCTTTGTTAGAATCCTCTAAAGAGGCATGAAAATGTCTAAAATACCCATACAATTACTTTTGATTAAACTGTTCATTTCCTAAATTTTCACTTCATATGAATGGCTAGTTCAAACCCTTAGATTTATTTTCCAAATTTGTCATTCATATCAATTGCTCAAAGGTAAATCTGCAACTTTAAATTTTCTTTTTTTTTTTTGTTGTTTATAAAGCTTGTATTATTTTTTTTTTCTTTTTGTAGAAACCAGCCTCAATAGTAATTGTATGGGTATTTTAAACATTTTCGTGCTTTTTATTATAGGGTTTTAATAGAGGTGGTTTACTTGCAACTGAGCCAAAAAGTTTAGGGGAGGTTTCAGCAATTTATCCTTCTACTTAAAAACAGAAAAAATAAAAAAGAAAGTTCTGACGGTCTCCTCCCAAGGAGAAGATATTGCCAAAACAGGACAAGATGTTGAATTATTATGTATAACCGTTCAAATGATAAATTACTGATGAAAAAGAATGTAATGTATAAAAGGTAATATACAATATGGTTATAAACATGGTTCAAAGTATCGATACACTTAATTCGAATCAGTATGTCTATTGATTGTTTTGACCAAGGCTCAAAATTTTGATACGCTCATATGATATTGTCAATTCCTGGTATGCCAAACAGATGGCTTATGAGGGTTCAAAACACTTGCTTATTGGGTGCATCGATACTTTGAATCATGGTTTTCAAAATCGGACTGAATCAGATAGTCGGATTGAAAAACTCAGGAACYGGTTAGGTGACCAGTTTCGGTTTTCTCTAAAACCAGAAATTTGCCTAAAATCGTTGATTTTGGTCAGTAAACCGTTGACTTGGGCGGTTAACCGTTTGAATGGTTTTGACTGTTTTTTGTTAATAAATTTTTTTTATTTTGTTTGTCAGAGCAGGCCGACCGTTCGACTTGGTAACTGGACCCTTGACCAGTTCAGTGTCCTGGTCGTTTTTAAAAACCATGCTTTGAACCATGGTTTTTGACTGACCATAACTTTTTTTGTTGCTATTTCCTTTTTTTTTTCAATGGATTGGTCTTAGGCCTGCCTAGCCCCTGAAATTTGGTCGAAAGCCCAAAAAGGTCCTTGTTTATAGTATTGATGATCTATGATATATGAGCCAATATGTTGCAAAATTTTGATTCTTGGTTATAACGACAAACTTGACCATGTAAACAATTTTGAAAACCGGTTAATTCAATACACAATTTTGCAAATGATCACAATTTGAACCTAACATCTGTAAGGGACTAGGGAGTAATTTTCCGTGGGCTTGACCAAAAAGGATGAAATTGTGGGTAAAAAGTTGTGGGCTCAATTAATGGAACTTTCTACGTTTATGAATTATGAATCAGTATCAATTTAATTTACCACAAGTGCTGCTCCTGCTTCATTATTTTCTTTCTGATTATTTTTTTTTATCTGGAAAATGTGTTGATTTGATCAAAATGGAAGTTTGAATTTTTGTTCTTTTTTTATAACAATATTGAAGTTTGAAACTTCGAATTATACAATGTAAGACGGGGTATTGCTTATAATGTTTAGCCAGCAATTTAGATTCTTTTTTGGTGAGAGAAAAGAAAGAATCTAGAATCTAGAATTTAGAAAATAAGTGTGGGGGCATTCCGAGAATCGAACTCGGGACCTCTCGCACCCAAAGCGAGAATCATACCACTAGACCAAATGCCCATTTATGTTTTATAATTCTCTAGATAGATAATAATTTCGAGAACATTTGCTTATCACAGTGACATGTAATGCAATTGTAAGTCATACGCCTGTTCGTTGCCAAACACTATTTAAATATAAATATTACCACAACGTCTGGAAGATGTGCCTTGCAGATTTACCACAATCGAACCAGAAAACTGGGAATCGGTCAGGTGATCAGTTTCGTTTTCTTACTAAAACCGGATTTTTGTCAAAAAATGTTGATTTGGTCAATAAACCGCTGACCTGAGCATTCGAATCGTTCAATGGTTTTGACCGTTTTTTAATTTTTTGTCAGAATGGATCGACTATTCAACCTGAAAACCGGACCCCTGACCAAACCGTTCTGGCATCATAGAAGAAATTGAGCACACGTAACTTGGCCTTCAATTGGTAGGTAGTTAACTCCTAATTGCAAGTTTGTGGAACCCCTGAGACAGTATCTTAATGATTTCAGTCTAACCAGTTTTCATCTAGGGCTGCAAACGGTATTTATTTCTCGCAATTCTAATTCAAATCCAATTTAGTTACGGTGATCCAAATTCGATCAGTTTATAATTGGATTTAAAATGATACCTGAAATTTATGACAGCTGAAAACTTCAGTCAGAAATTTGAATTTGAAACAATAGAGATGATTTGAAATTTTGAATGCGCATGCTTACCAAAAAATCAGGTTCAGATCTTGTAGAAGTTGTTTTCAAGTCATCTTCTTCGTGATATAAAATATAAAACTTATTCTTATTTTATTCTATCAATAATAATATAATGTATTTGATCATTTTAACTTTAATTTATGAATGATGTTACAAGTCACATCAGGATCTTATGGATAAGATTTATTTGAATTCAAATATTATTGAATCAGATTTGGATCTAAACTATAGGGAATCTGTTTTGCAGCCATATTTCCACCCCAAGAAGACGCAAAAATACTGGAGACATTCGCCCATTAATCAAAACAAATGCAACCTACAACAATCCCCAACAAAGCAATAAAGCCTTCAACTGATTTTGGGTTTTCTTTTTTTTTTTCAAGTTGGGGCTAAATTTTCATTGATCTCTACAATCTCTTTCTGTATATTTAGCTAAGGTTCAAAATATCGATACGCCTGATACACCAGTGTGGACGTATTGGGTGAATTGATACTATTTTCTTTTAATTTTTTTATTTTTTTTTGAAACCGGTTCAGGGGGGGCGGTTTAAGTTTCCTCCATCCCCTAAACCTGTCAGACCACCGATACACCCACTATAGGGGCATATCAGTGGAGTCTCAGAACAACACGTATCGGCCGATACGGATCGATGCTTTGAACCTTGTATTTAGCATATGTTTGGTTCTGTAAGTATTTCCTAAGAGGCATTTTTTAGATAAACGTTTATCTGAAAAATGCTAATTATGATACTTTAAACATTTTTTACTTTTTTTCATTTGGTTAGACATTTTATTGGCATTTCGAGTTACACCCCATAAAGTTGCTTTCCACCTCAGTTAAAGTGTAATAGTGTACCACATCAGCATTTCAATTCAAAAAATACCCAGGCATTAGGAGAAACATGAATTTGATGTGTCCCCAAATGCCCCATATACATAAATGATAAATGAAAGCATTTCAATTTTTTAGTATTTATTTGATAAACAGTAAAACCAAACAGTGGTTTCATATGCAATAAATACCAAGACCTATGTGACACTAATGTGATGGCATTTTTTCAATAAATGCCCACAGAACCAAACATATACATAATATTTAGTCGGCCAGTATATTGTCATTGTGGATGGAACCTATTCCCTCTTTACAGGAAATACTAATGGGAGATCTATTCTGGATCATTAGTGGATTAGATATTATTACATAATCTTCACATATCCACCAACCTCACATGCCCTTCAGAAGAGAAGAATGAACTTTCTATTGTCATGACTGGATGATTATAGGTTCCACTTCCATCCTTGTCTTTTTTTTTTTTATCCAAAAAAGAGAACGAATCAATGGATGAAATGCAATTAACTTGGGGGGTGTTCGACAACATGTTTGGTACACCCCCTAGAATGCTGCTTTTGTTTCCTCCATGCTAAACAAAGGAAAACAAATAATTTCCTTGAACTATAACTTTCAAAAGGAAAACAAATCATATTCACCTGGTTTGCTCAAATTGGATAACAAACCCCAATGGCTGAAAATTAGCATTGCAATACCTGGTGTTATGGTAACAATATAGTTATAGTTCCAACTTCCAACAAATTCTCCAAACAGGTAAAAGCTTGAACTTCCAGAAACAAGAGACTCTTCTACTCACATATAAAGAATTCATGCGTACAATCTATACACGCAGCGTAATACAAACCATTCCCACCCCCCAAAATGCTAGGCGACAAGTAAAAGGGGTGGATAACCAAAATGGTGGGGAAAGAAGACCAAAAGGTAAAAGGGAAAAATTCATTGACAAAGGGAAACATTAGAACTAAAGACAAGGAACAATCCTCCAGTATGACAATTCTAATCAAAAGCACGAGTATAGGAAGAGAAACAGAGAAAACGTTCTTCATCAGCAATTGAAGCCATGGCAAATGGACAAGACTATGATGAGAATCAGAGCAATTATAATACCCAAAACTATAAGCTTTATCTTCATATTCTGCAGCCACATCTTCCTCCTCATCTTGGTCCCCTGTTGCCGGAAATCTTGTGCCTGCAATAAAAAGATCAAGGATGCAAGCACACATCATATATATGTGGGCAAAAACCAAACTGTAAAATATAGCTAAGGGAAAGTTTCCAGTCCCCATCTGAGAGATAGAAATACCCTTCTCCCCATTTTTTGATCATTTCCATAGTCTGTCAAGCCACATGCTATTGCCAACAATGAAACGTAAAGTTGTTTTTCGAAATTCTAATTTCTAATATTGAAGTAGCAGGAGTATCCGACTAACCTGTGACTTAAGATTCTCTGTTTTGTCCACCAGAAGCTCTATTTTCTCACCTCGGTCAAGAACCTGCACAAAATTAGACATTTTAACTAACCAGATAATCTGCCACATAACATGTTCCAAATCACAGAAGTAGCAGAAATTATGTTGCACCTGTTCTGTTATTGAAATGCCATAACAATATTTAGCAGTGAATGGACATATAAGACAGTGATAATAATCCATCAAGAGGAAAATAAAAACTTGAAAGAATTTATGATCACTTGCCTTCTCAATATTTTCCATCATCACTTCCTTGACTTCTGACACCTGAGCCTTCACTTTTGCTAGTTTGCCGACCTCCTCTGGGTGATCAACACAGTACTGCATGTGTTCCTTCAATTTTGGCCTATAATATATATATCAATGGTAAATTATTGGCATTTCTATCATATATGTCTTGCTAATACATCCATCAAAGGGCTAGACATTAGGCAAAGTACCCAAACTCCTTGTTAAGACTGTTGGCTACAGCAGTTGCAGCTTTCCCTCCTCCATATCTCTTGTTAAAATCATCCTTAACTCGTTCCAGAAAGGCAACGGGGATTTGTCTTCCAACAGACTCAACTGCCACCACACAGTAGGCTGCATGATCCAAGATCAAATCAGAAACAAGCCTCGATTAAAAAGAACAAGGATAAGCAATTAAATTATAATGATCAAACATCAAAATACATTTCTCAAATGAATGAATACTCATACTGTCATACATCGATCACATCATTAAACACCCAATTATAAGAATTAACAAAATATATATTAATCTATCGAAAAAACAATATATATATATATATATATTAAAACTGATAATTCAGCTTCTTATTTGCTTGGAAAAGAACCCCCTAAAGTAATAGGAACTAACATTTTATCAAAAATATAAATAGGAACTGATATCCCAAAATTTTGGTCAGTGTCCCCTTAACCAATGGTTCAAATCTTTATATATTTGAAATGATGGCTTCCTAAATAAATAAATAAATAAATATTTACTATTATGTTTATAATAGAAATAGCTCTTTCATTCACTCATTCAATTAATATACCAAAGTATAGTTTGTATTGGACCCTACTAACAAAGGTGCAAGTCTTGTCACAAGTGTTTTATTTATCAAAAAAAAAAAAAAAAAACTAGGGGCACAACTTGGTTTACATGGAGTATCTGTTAAAATTCTTCAACTACATTGGGTTCAAGCCTGAAAATGAGCCCAATGTAGTTGAAATTCTTCAACTCAAGCAACCCAGACTTGCACCTTAGTGCTAGCTAGCTTTCTGGTAAGGTCTCTAGCTGGTTGCAGCAGACTTGAGACTAAATCCCACCTTCACCATGGTCATGGATTGGTTTCAGAGTTGGGGGAGGGCAACCCCCATTGTGCAGCCCATTTACCTACCTAAAGAAGAGTCCCGTTAACARTTTGACTAGATTCCAACTTTCTAAGCACATACTACATGGATAGACTTGGGAATCATGCCCCTGTTTTCTCTTTCTTCTTGTTAACACTTCTTTAGCTCCAATATATGCTTTAGATTTTTACTAGAGACAGTAACTGGCAATTCATTGAGGATACAGTACTGTTTGATTACCTAGAGAAATACATACGATCTTGTTATTTGGATAAATGCCAAAGCAAAACCACTTAGCTGGTTGATTTCCCTAATCCTTATTAATCTTCTGGTCACTAGAGAAATATACATAGCATCCACTTAAGATATGGGAAACACCATGGAAAGTATACAGGCCTTTTCCTTTCTGACTGATGTAGGAAGAGACAAAGTGCATCTCATCTTTAAAAGTATAAAACACCCATTCCAATCAGTGTTTTAAAAGGCGTGGGAGGCATACACCTGGAGGCATGCCTCCAGGGCAAGGCGCCCCCAAAAAGGACCTGAGGTGTACACGTCTGACGTGTTGACACCTCTGACACATACACCTCAGGTGCAAGAGGCATATGCGTCATATGCTTTTTTCATAGGCGCACTAGAGGGGTATGCCTCATGTGCCTCACACACACCTTATATAAAAAGAGAAAAAAAAAAAGATAAAAAGTTAAGTATAAAGAAAAAATGGAAAGGAAAGGAAAAAAAATAAAGGGAAGGGAAAGAAAAAGAAAGAAAAGAAAAGGAAAAATGAGATCCTCCTTCCTCTTCCTCCTCATCCCCCTCCTCTTAAGGATGCTAACACCTCCTTGTGTTTGGGATGCTTATACCTCTTACATTCTGAACTACACCTCACACCTCTAGAGAAACCAAGTCCATGAAATATAAGAACCAATTTGCAAGTCCAAGGAGAAACAAGATACAAACCTTGCAAATTGGTGCTTGTTGGACTCCTGATACAGTAAGATTAAATCAGAATGGATGGGGCTAAATCTGCATACAATCCAATTATGTAAACAGACCATTCAAATCCAAAATACCAAGTTCATATGTTGGATTGGGTTTCAGACTTTCAGAGTCCATTGACAACCCTAATGCCAATAGGTCATTTAGTGAACTTCGCCAAATGACGCAAAATCTTCTACATAGGGGCATAAAAGCAATCTGTTTATTCCTCTCCCCACTCCTTTTACATGGACAAAAATTCCACCCCAAGTATGTTTCCATATGCTCAAAGTACAGCCTCTTATAAAAAGAACTTTTATATTAAAATTTAAATGTTGAAATAGAGAGAGATTATAAAACCAACACGACAGGGAAAATTAATAAAAGTGAAAAAAATCAGTAATCTAGTATTGTGTACACTGCGGCACATCATTTATTGAACTTCTAAGAGAAGTTCCAAAAGCATAAGGAAATGCAAGCACCTAAAATTAAATGCAACAAATTTCATAATTGATCACCACTCAAATTACTCAAACTTCTCCAAGCTGAAAATTAAACACAATGAAGAAAAACAACATATCAGTATTGTGCTTTGCAGCAGAGATGATGCAGGATGACCCAATTTAAAGTAGTCTAGTTGCTGAACTTCACAGTAAAGAAGCGAAATTCTGAAATAGGTTCAGCTCAGCCTCAACAGATTTCAAAGCATTGAAAACTAGGCCGGTTAAGGTCAACAGATCAAGTATCAGTTTCAATGGGTTCAATAAGGGGCTGTCAGCTGACACAAGGAGTAAGGTCAACAGATCACAAACAAGGGTTTAATAATAGGGTTATTAAATAAATATGAGGGCTGTTTGGCAGGTCTTTCTAGGTAGATCTTTCAACATCCCAGTACATGAGAAGATGCACTGAGCTTTTGGGGTCTAGTCTTTAAAGACTAAGACTGTTTGGTAATTGTTGTGCTCCACCGAAATGTTAAAAACAGCTGGGATGGCTATTTTCAGCACAGAAAGACCAAAAGCTTCATTTGAAGCTTCCCAATTTTCAGCTTTTTCGGTCTTTCCATGCACTCACCTTCGGGTCTCAGTCTATGCAATACCAAACAGGAAAAGACCATTTTTTTGGTCCTTTCAGCTTCCCATAGACCAAAAGACAGGCCAAACACYGCCATAGAAAAGTTACAAAAAATACATAAAATAAAGAATAACAGTTCATAGTAGGCTTCAAATTTCAAGAATTTGGATTTTATAGAAAATATCAAGACAATATTCTAAACTCTGTTCAAATAAAACCAGCATCAACCTATCTTAATCAAGAATCGATGGCACCAACTGCCCCAAGATATCATACATCAAGGCAAATCATCAAAAGCACATTTTGAAGAGACTATATTTCATTCGAAAATTGGTGGTCTAATGGACAAAAAAAAACAGAGAAAAGTGCCTACATTTTGTCTTTGGATGCTAATAGAAACTTTGATAAGTACCTAAAAAATTTGTTCAACTTAATTTATTCAAAGAAAATATCCTTCTGGATCAACTCGAACACATACTCTCACTACAATTCAGTAAACTGAGGAGGTCGTAAAGAGTTTACAAAATTAATGCCTTGTAAATCTTTAAACAAACTTAATGGCATGGGAACCCTAAATATCTGAATCACACCCCTCAAGATGCGTAAAATATGTGATTATTATTAGTTTCACTAGAAAAGTAAGCTTTCACTAGAAAAGTAAGCTTAAATAAAAATAGTGTAGTCACATGAAAGAGAGCATCCAACGAAAACTCTTGATTGTGATTATCATGCAAAAATTTATGAGGCTAGCGGTGATTTTTGTACCATGTCACAGGGTAACAAAAGCAAATAACCAACCAATTTCACACGCATAAGAAATGCCATACAAATTCTGCTTGCAGCAAACAGTTCATAGGAAAACAGTACGTATGTAATGATGCAGGTGCAGTATAAAATTTAATCAGTTACAAAAGTCGGGAAAATGGCACTCAAGAGAATTTGCATGTTATTACTTCATTCCATCCTTTTGTGAAACAGTCAATAATTCGGACACCTAGAAGTAAAATAAGGCGAAACAAAAGGAAAAACAACACCAAGTTGGAAGTGACTAACGTCCTCGTTATGATCTTATATTCCTGTGGTCTAATGCCTTTAATGATTCTTACCATTGTCAGAGGAATAAAAAAGGATCAATGAAGTATCAGCCATAATCAACATCTAATTATCTTTTACAATTTGCATTTTGATGGTTTTTGTACTAAGTCGATTAATCTGGGGCGCTAAGAGATTGAAGACTAGATAAACTGAAATTTGATCTAAACCTGATTATTGCAGTATTCCTTCCGAATACTAAGATCAAAGACGCCAGAAGTGTACAGAAACAGTGGATTTAGGAAATACCGAAGAGGAAAGTATTCGAAGCAACAAGAACAAGCATTGGAGGAAAAGAAATAGAAATAGAAGATTCTTTTCAGATGAAGAAAAAATTTACAAGAGAAACAAACTTGAAAGACCAAAGAATAGTCTGACAAAAAACAAACAAAAATAGAACACACAGAAATAGATCACCAAAGCAGAAACACAAATCCCAACCAATTCAAGAACGAATCACAGAGAGATCGAATCAGAACGAGCAAGTAAAATAACCAAATCCACATAATCGCGAGAAGTCCAAATCTGAGGACTTACTGAAACCGTTTTCAACAAGATAATTGAAGGTGTGGCTATCGCAGTTGTAGGTGAACTTATTGTTGGTAGCAGGAAGCTTTTGAAGGCACTGAGCAGCGATGCTGGTGAAATTCCCTGTGAACTCGGTGTATTCAGCGAGGACCACTGTTCCTCGAGCGACGAAGCTATAGATCAAAGACTGTTGCCCCATCTCGCAAACCCTAATCCTAACCTAGGAATTGCAGAGGAAGTGATATTGGAGAGGAAAACGGAGAGAGATGGAGATGGAGATGGAGAGACGATGGAGGAGGAATCAGACTGTGTTGTCGGTTTTTGTTGCGAGGACAAAGAAATGTTCGGCGGAAGTTGCAGAGAGGAATTATTTTATAATAAGTTGCTGAAAAATATAAATCAATTTAATATTTCACTCTTTCTTTAGATGGGTAATAACGAAAATGCCACTCAGTGGTGCTTAAGTGGCAGAGTAGAAAAAGAAAAAGGTGCAATTATTAGATAAATGAAGGGTATTAGTGTCTTTTGACTAGGTATGTAGTGGCTACTTTTTTTCTTTCAAAATTCAAAAGTATGACCGGAGGAAGAGTCCCGTTCGTAAGAAGCAAAGAAAATTCTTCAAAAGTAATCTAATCACGAGTCTCGATCGTCTGCTGATCGACTCGTAATACTGGGCCAATAAAGGATACACACCACGTCAAATCTGTAGCATTACTTCCGATGGTAGTTACAATGACGTAAATGACGCGGCGGGTGCTGATTGGGTTAGGGAGATGGAATTCGGGTCTTGGATCAAACCTTGGGCCCGCAATTTGGTAGACCCAAATGATGGCCTACCTTCTCCACCTAATACTAATCCTATCACCCCCAACCAACGCGGAAGGCGGAACGCTTTGTTTTCATTTTTCAACGGACAACAGGAGCGTCTTTGCTTTGCTTTGGTGTGGGCCAGTGGGAGGGGAGTTAATATCAGCGCCCAACACCACATCTAACCGTGTACTGGGGAACATCTCCTGATGAAAAATACGGAAGGTGTTCACTATTCACGCTGAGATGTACATGTCGCGTGGGAGGGGAACCATGAGACCAATAGATGGGCTGGGCCCCCATAAGTTGCAATTTTTTTTTATATTTCATGGATGAAGGCCCACCATTACAAGGATCCAAATTTAATTTTTCTTGTTAATTACCGAATTGTCCTCCTCTATCTAATATTTTAAGTTTCATAGCAAGCAAGGGTAATAAGTAAAGTAATATAGATGCCAATTATCAGCCTTCTAAGGGACCAGTGTTTTTAGTCTCATTCTAGAACCGATGGTTGAATTAGTGATCCATGATCTGTTTCTTATTTTATTTTATTTTTTCTGTCGATGATCTTTTTCGAGTCCTGGTTAATTAATAATTTTCATTCGTTGGATTGGTATCTGTTTTTGGTTTATGTGTGATTCAAATTAATTCTTGTTACTTTTTGTACTTTATCATTAAAAAGATCATTCCTCTTGAGTTTATCTATAAACTTGTACTTTTAGTTTGTATCCTATGGGCTTGTGGAGAGAATGCACTTAAGACTAACGTATGCATACACATGCTAGGCCGGKCTGGGTTGGGCTAACACACATGTGCACCACCTGTCACCTCGTGTCGTGTCTTACTGCACGTGTAGGTTCAAGGTAACTTTCATTTATTTATTTTCTTTCTTTTTTTTTTTTAAAGCTTTAATGTTTTAATTAAGGGTCTGTTTTCTAACGTTCATTTTGTAACCACCGCATTCTCCTAATCGTAGGAGAACTCCCAATGTTAATGGGAGACAATGCTGTTTTGGCATTAAGCCTACTTAATGGCTAAATTTTCTGTGATTAGTGTACATCGAAAATTGCTATTCTTCTTTGTGTTTTACTCTCTCTCCCACTCTGGGTTTTTCTCATTGTTAAATTGTGTTGGGTGTACATAACAAACTGGTTCGCTGTTTTGGATTGTAAGTGCACACAACGCCAATGCTAAGAGTTATTATATCCCGGAGACCGACCACCAAAAACTTTCTGCACCAATGAAAATATTCCAAGAGACGGCAAAATCGATTTTAAGGTTAATTAACACTTGCCGCAACTCAGCTACTACCGATAAGCTTTTATCTATTTTTATCAGATTACTATTTTAATTTCCTATAGTTTGGAAGTGGTTTGTTTGGATTCTGGTTTGATCTCTACGACAGCCATATTACTACACATATTTTCCTACATTAACCACCCGGTTAATTGATAAAATCGTGAACCAATCAGCATTCTGGTTCTATCCAACCCGAGTTTGACAATATTGGCAGATACCTGAGGTGGGGTCCATGGGGATAATGCCACCAAGAGATTGTAATTTCTTGAATGAAATAATAATAGACAAAGTTTAAAGTATCAATATTCTTAATATACAAATTATTATATGTATTGGTAACAACTTGAGAGAATTCTTGCCACATCACAATTAAAATTTGAAAATATTGAAATCTTCTAATTCTTTGTATTAAGCTATTCATGAATTTGAAAACTGATATGTTGTGACATTTTGAATTTTAGGGTTCGTTTGGTTTATAGTTAGAATCAGAATCGAAATCTTCCARAATTAGAATCGGAATGGTCGATTCACATAGTCCGTTTAGTTCAGACAGAAATGGGAATGGGAATTAAAATCAGCAGGAATGGGATTTCATTCCCAAGGGAGGGGCAGGGAATTGTCATTCCCTCAAATGGGAAAATGCCATTCTAGCAAGAACAGGAATGAGATTCCAATTCCACCCAACCAAACAGTTGGAATCGAAATAAGCCCATTCCGATTCTGTTTCCAGACCCATATTTCTGCAAACCAAACAGACCCTTAGTAAAAAAAAGATGATAAACATGATGTCAATGTTAAGCTTGATAAAGTCCATTCTAATTCCATTTGTCCGTCTAATGCAGTCGTTGCGTTCTAGAATGTATTGATGTTGTGCTGACGTTTACCTTATGTTCACGGTTAACGCGTCTTGGGAATTGACCACGCTGTCAACATTAGCCCAAATCATCTCCATATCCTACCAGTGGACTTTTTTAATTTGAAACACCTCTATAAATTATTTCCTTTAGATGTAGGAGCAAAGGTTATTACTCAATGTTGGTATCAGCTGGCTAAGAGTCTTTGGGAACAGAGGTATAATATGGGCCGTGCTGGGCAGGCACGGCCCACTTTTGCGGTCTGTCCCTGATTGGCCCAGAATCTCTCAAAAGGGAAGCTTGGCATGGCCCATGGCCCGATCCAAGTGGATCTGGTCTGGGCCGGTCCGTGGGTGGAATGATTATTTTAGAAAAATTWAAAAAATGAAAAAAGTTAAAAATAAATTAATAACATAGACAACAAAATTGAAAAAAAAAATTAAATTTTTTTCTATATTTATTTTAATGTATACAGTTATTTATATTATGAAATAATAAAATGAAATTGGAAAAAAATTATAACAAAATAGTATAATGAAATTGAATATACATGTATTGTTAAATAAATTAGTCAGTTCCACGCGACCCAATTTTTATGCTGTATCATACTGGCTCATAGACCTCAAAACCCAAGCCCGGCATGGCATGGGCGTTTAGGCCAGGCTGGCACGGCTTGAATCGTGCTAGGCTGTGCTGAACTGCATGCAATCCGGCCCACTTTACAACTCTACTTAAGAGGGGTACTGGATATGTCCTGACCTTTGGCATTATTTTTACACAAAGTGACCAATCTCAGGGCTAGAAAATAAGGCACTCCCAACAAAGGGAGATGAAAATAAGAGGGCGCCTGTGAAGCCCATTGGCCATATCATGGAGAGCCTAAATTAGCCATAGAACTTAGAAACAAAAATATAATAATTGAAGGAGATTTTATTAGAGAGAGATAGAGAGAGACCAATTTATGAATCCCACCTTCATTATGTAGCAAAGTGAAGCCAAAGAACCAACTCTAGAGGGTCATTGGCAACAACAATGAATACAGCCATAAAGAGACTTTCCCTACTTTGACAAGCTTGTACTATGAGTATGTTTTTGTTTGCAATTTTCATGAATTGGGGCAAAGGCTTAGAAATCAATGCAATTTGTTGGCAGGTTTGTCAAAAGGAAAATGTGGTTTTCTTTTAGCTGGAGCTCAACAATGTTGAAATTTCATCAGATGTGTATTGATGGGAATACCATTAAGAAAAGCCCTTTCGGCTTCATAATGACAACGACAGGGCATTAAGTTGTAACCACCCAACTTATGATTCCCATTTTCCACCGGTAGACAACTGACCCAACTCATGATGGTAGACTTTAGTTCTTTGTAATTCCCGTCCCTGGATTATATATCCACTAATTTATATGCCGTGTGTTTTAAACAAGACTATTAGTTAAAGCTAAGAAATGGGATTGGTTGAATTGGTCCTATTGAATTGTTTGAGTTTGTCTTTTAGTAATTAAGCAATTAAACAGGGTCTTAATTGCTGAATGGCATGTTGGGTTGACTASTTTATCCAATTATATTCACTATGTGACCATTTTATCCACTAGAAGATGAATTTATAAGTAATTTAGTTCAGCTAATTCAGCAGTCATTTAGATGAGCCATAAATGATTCTTCCGCCCTTTAATTTGCCACATAAAACAAGGATCAACAACTGACAGATTAATTAGGCCAAATTTGAGTTTGAACTTTGAACACATTTATTCAACTATATATGTTGTTGTCGTGTTTATTTGGATTGTCAAGTTGTATATTAAGACCTGTGGAAAGTTTCACTATAAAAGTATAAAATGGCCTAATCATCTGTGGACCATTTGGGATGACAATTTTGTAGGAATTTTTGGATGTTCAACCTGATTCGAACCCTTCCCCTTGTGTCCCATTATAGGTGTCTTCATCATTAACCATTTGAAGAACATTTTCATTAATTTTTTAATGTTATTTTTGTAATACTCCAACCAGCCCATTTAAACCCGTCCAATTATATGATAATCAGACGAGACAAGCCATATAAGTTTAACGAGTTTGAGCGGGATGAATTTAAAAAATTGAAAGGAAAAGTTAAACGTGTTTGAGATCAAAGATCAAAGATGCTTAAATGCTTTAGAAATGAGAAGGGCAATTTTTGCGAATACCGTATTTCTTGCCATCCCTAATGGTTTGAAGGAAGAGGTAGATGAATAATCTATGGCCCATCTTTTGATTCACTGTCCCTTTTCCAAGAAGGTGTGGTTTCAGTCTGCAAGGCAGTTCGATCGGCATCTGTCGGGTTACTCCTCATCCTGAAAGCCTTGATCTGTTCTACGCTTGGCCTACAAGGTGCTTTAACAGGAGGGGAAATTTCTTGTAGTTCTATG